TGCCCTAAAAAGGGCGATTTCAAATGCAGACATGTTGTTTAATCGGTCCCCACTGAGAGCGCTCACACTCGCATAAGAATGGGCCCCGGGGTGTGAGAAGCAGTTGCATTATACCCAAGTGATCAGGATTTCCATGCAGCCAGCCTGAAAACGCCCACAAGCTGTGAAAGGCCAAAGCTGATTTCCGTATGCGAGTTTACTGGTGATACTGGGGGATTCTGCATCTTGAGCCTTCTGCCAGCCCCCATACTCACCCCTACGTCTGTACGCAAGTCATGGTGACGGCCGATGCCTTTGGCCATCCCTTCACAATTTACCTAGATTGGCTGTCATCTTTAGCAGCTAAAAAAGGGAAACTGGACCTTTGACCATTCGGAGCAGGAAACATCTGCACCCTCACCATTTTCAATCCAAACCCACGCTCGTGTTTTTAAACGTTTTATTAAACCGTGAGCCCTCAGAGGATGAGGTTTTGCAGACTGGAGTTAGGCTGTTATATGAGATATTCAGGAAGTTATTTGCATCGACTGGATAAAAGCCTGTGGCAGCTGGGCGTGCTGCAGAAGCGAGCGAGAGACCACTGCAGCAGCCACCAGCCCAAGGAATAACATTAGTTCCAGCTTCACAATGAGTTGTTTACTGGCCGCGGCTGCCTGTGGGAACAGCCAAGAAGAGCAGAGGAAAAGGAGAGACAAACACAATGCGAGCGAGACACGTTAGGTGGGAGGCTGGGCTTTAAAAGCAGACTCAGGATTGCAAACCTATGGAACTGGAGAGGGCCGAAAGAGAAAGCGAAGGGCACCGGCTGCTCCACGGCATAAACGGGCTGAGGCAAAGAAGTCATCTGCTGCATTACTCCTGCTGCCAGAGATCCTCTTCCCTAGCTGAAGGGCTGATACTAAAGGTAAGAGATACAATTAAAAAGCTGTTAGGTAGTGGCTCTGCTGGAAGGCAGATTCACTGAAAGACAGCAGCAGCAATCAGGGTGAGCTGCACAGGCAAAAGCAGCCGTGCTTCCCTGGAGTATTTTTAATTACATCCCTAAACGTTTGAAAGCCTAGAGCTTTTCCAGCAGAAACCCAGGGCTTTCAGAGCAAACTCCTGGGTGACAAGAGTCCAGGCTGTTCTAGTGAGCTCCTTTGAGAAGATTTAAAAAAAACAAAACCAAACCAAAACAAAAAACCCAAGCTAAAAAGCAATCCCTTTCTAAATCTGTTTGGAAAGATATTTTATTTTTATAGCCAGCTTTGCTTTGCAGCTTCCTAGTCTTACCCAATGCTTTTCTGATTCCCCCGTCTCCTCCTCGCTTTTTTTAATTGGAAGGAAAAACAATTACAGCCGTGCAAAGGAAAACCCGAGATTTAACCAGCTTTTCCCCTGCTCATTACCATCCCCGGCGCGGAGGCGCAGGCACGCTCTCGCAGGCTGTGTCGGCCAGCTAATTGCTCAGGAAATCCGCGTTGCCCGTTGTCGGGCTGTCCTGAAGCTGCTAATTCTGAACTGGGAGCTGCCTGGGCTGGGCGATGCTCTGGAAGGGAATACAGCCCCGCGAGAGGGACCCGGCAGAGCGGCGGGCGCGGGGCGGGCTCAGGCGCTGATAATGCATCCCTGCCCAATGGCAAGCGTTCCCGATCGAGACCCCCAAGAGTTCCCCCTGCCCGCAGACCCTGCCCAGCCATTGGGCCCATTCTTGTGTCCCGTTTCCCAAGACATGATGGCTGCAGCGTTGAGCGGTTTTGTTTCCTGGCTGAACAAAGGAAGGCAGACAACTGCCAGGCGCTTGAGGTTTTAAAGATGAACGGGTAAACTTTTAGGAAGTCGAGCGCGCAGATCTTCCGCGTGGGACTAACTCAGCCCGTGTTCCACGCGCAGAAAAAGGATAAATGTGGGCTGTCAGGGAGGAATCGGGCTGAAATCTGCCGAGCTACGGGCATGATCTCAGCCCCGGCCGCGCTGCCGTGGTAAGTTTCTATTTCCTCACTTTTTAACTCAGCAGAAAAGCATCCAGAGTTAATGTCAGCTCTGAAAAAAGGATTTTAGTGTTTTCTGAAATCTGACGGCTCGGACAAATCTGTGGGATAAAACTAGCCGGGGATGGGCTCGAGTTGTACATTTCGATGGAGATTAGCAATGTTTTTTCTATACAGGGAGATCTCATTCCTCTTACTTGAGCTATGCTATAGTTGGGATGGGAGAGGAAAATGTTTCTGTTTAAAGTGAGAAAGACGATCTCCAAGTTTCTGGAAAGTAATTACTATGTGAGCTACTCCTCCAAACTGTTGCAGTGGAAATCATTATAATTCACATCGTAATTCTCATTGTGTCGCTGCGGATGACAAGTTAAGGACTTTCCTATCACTGTTGATTGTTTCAGGTTTGTGAAAAATATCCCTTGCTTAAGGCCTTTTATTTTTGTACTTGAAGTCAGTATCATAAAGACACTTTAATATAAGCTTAAGAAAGTGTTTTATATAAACATGGCATAAACTTAGGACTTCCAGCTTACAATGATGCATGCTTTCAGCTTCATGTAATGAGAGATCTCGTTCCTACAGGCTATACTAAAAATTAGGAAATAAGTTATATCTTTTATACTGCAAAACCTTAAAAGTTTATTTATCCCTTTGGCTTCCATTTACGGCTAAAATCTACTCCTTTTAAGCTCAGTGGCAAAATTCCATGAGAAAAATTCAAATACAGCTTTAAGCAGACAGAAAAACTGGTGTCAGAAGTAAAACGAATGATGAACAACATACCTAATCTAAAGAGGCAGCTGTTCGAAAGAAATAGGATTTAATACAATGTAAGCCCACTGCAGAAGAATTTGCAAGAAAAGTTTGAGGTTTTTTTAATAATATTCCTTAATCTTTGTTTGCGAGGAGGCAATTGTGTGCCTTTGTATTGCTTACACGAGCAGAACAGTAACACCCAGAGGATGGGAAGTGCAAAGTTCACAGGTCGGTGATAAGGATATTCCCCCCCCCCCATAGCACTTTTCCATCTTCTTTCCCTTACTGGCATTCGGGAAGCCAAAATAAAGCAGGCAGGAAACTAACCTTGCTACTTCAGGAGAATTTTAAAAGAAAGTCCTGAAAAACATGGGAGGGAGGAAGGGAGGAGGGGAGGCTGAGCATACATTTCACTTTAATCCTTTGAGACTAAAAATGAGACTCCTCCTTAGCAGGGGTTAGGTCAATTGATAAAAATCAGTGTCTTTCAAAGTCTGGAGTTAGGAGCGCAGCTTGTACACAAACAGAACTAGTGCCAGAACGCAACTACCCGTTCACTTTCATTCAGAGCGTTGTAAATGAGACAAAAAATGTGAAAACCTGCGCCTTCCAGTTTTCGGAGAAGCAGCAATTCACTGTGCCTGAGCGCTGCAGCTTGTGCCAGAGAGAGGATGCACTCCCAGCTGTAAGATGGTTGCCAGTCTCCAGCCTGTGACCTCAGGGCTGGAGCAAAAGAGCAGGAATTAAGGCAATTTTACCCAAACCTTGGGCCAGATCGTGGGGAAAGGGTGCACTGTAGGAGGGTATGTTACTTCTGGAACAGAAGGTGAGAGAAGCTTGCTCCCTGGGGAGAGCAGTACATGGCAAAATTATTTGGGACCCGTTTACCGTGGCTGCTTGCAGCCATACGCATTGATGCCAACGCTTGTGACGCATCTGCGCGGCTGCAGCTAACTCTGGCTAAAGCACGTTTGAGCGTCGGGGCTCTGTTTACCGATGTCTGGGTGTTGCTGGCCAGGCGTGCAGGGATGATGGTCCCAGCCTGAAGGCTCACGCAGTGCTCCAGGGTCGCAAATGAGACACCGGTGAGCCGTCCCGTCCGCGGGCCGGGGTGGGTGAGGATAGCTCCTGGAGCACACATCCAGCCTCAGTAGGTCTTTCCAGGTCAAGCGTGCGTGCGGAGACTCACTCCGCTCCTTCGCACATTGCTCCTCCTCCGTAAATAAGGATCCGATTTAGTCTCAGGGAAGGGGAGCCACCACCTTTCACAAAGGGCAAATTCTCTCCTTGAAAAGAGGAGCTCTTTATTCACGAGAGCAGACAGTGGCTCTGCAAGACTTCCTCTAATGCACCATCTTCCCGGTTCAGTCCCATAAAAGGGGGTAAAGATCCACACCGCTTTGGAGCCAAACTAGCCTTAGATAACCCCAGCTGCAAGGAAAGTTTTCTGAATTATTTGTAATGCTTTGGTTTCGTAGAAAAAGGAAAGTGTCTTTATCTTGGCAAGTACAATTGAGGGACGTTCATCAGTCCCTAAGCGCCCAGACAAATGTGCATGCTACCAACAGAGCAGATTGCTTTCTCTGTATATAACATTATCTCATCATATTTTGAGTACCTATTGTGGCTGTCTATGTACAGGCATAACGGAAGCTCTTGTTTTCATCTAATAATATTCCCATTTTAATTTCTTGAACCTGCAGATAACGCACCATCTTCCATCCCAGCATGCATTTGCTTTTACATGATAAACAGAAATTACCATATTTAGCAGTAAAAGCAGCATCCCTTATACAATGCCAAAATCTCATTTGCTTTCTCTCATCTCATTATTAGAAATCTGATTTCTAAGAAACTTCACTAGAGAAACATCACTCAGTGGCCGAGAGTTGATATTTTTGCATTGCAAAGTAATTTCTTATTTATTTTAACACATTAGTGCGAGTTTACCCTCTGTAGTTCTTACTGAAAAATAGAGTAGCTGTGTGCTGTGCTTCCTCATACGTCCTTTAATTATACGCCACTGAATACTTTTCAAGACCTTAATGTTTTTTGCCAGAGGGGAGGTGAGGGAGATGACATGAAAACCCCAGTCATGCCTCCAAATCAGCAAAAATTTCTTGCTGAGAAGCGTGCGCCAAGGAGAACAGGGAGCCCAGCAGCCCTGGGAAGGGACCGCGGATCTCCAGTGCTCAGAGGCCAGGCCACTGGAGCAAACGAAACTAAGGCTGATGATACCCACCCAGTCCGTACTGCCGTCAGAACAGAGTTCGCAAACCTTCCCCAACCCCCCCAAGAATAAAGCAGTTTGAGAGAACAAAGCCCTTATTTATCAAATCCTTCCAGTAAATAAATGCAGGGCACAGATCCGTCACGGTCCTGAGCGCCGGAGCAGGGTACGGATGGCCTTCTGCCCCGCTGAAGGGCTGTGCTCAGCACCCGCGCCTCCTTGCACCCAGCTTAGCTCGCAAAAGCTGAAACGGGCGCTTGTGCTGTGGTGCTGGCAGCTGGATGGAAACTTGTTGATGCAAATGTATGCAAGGAAAAAAAAAAAAAGCGCCTATAATTTTTGGATAAACAGAGGTGAAAGTTCAGCTCTCCTGCTTCAGCAAAGGGACTGCAGAGGAACCAGCCCGGAGCCACAGCCCTGAGTGAGCGCGGTCAGGCGAGGCTCGGGTGAAAGGAGGGCTTCATGCGGCTGCAGGCACCTCACGAGGAGCCGAGCAAAGGCAACAAGGAGCCAAGAAGTCAAGCAATCACCAAGGAACCATTGGAAATCGTGTCAGAGCGCGCAAAGAAAGGAAGCTTTTGGGGCAGGATGCTAACTGGAAAGCGTTTTGGAACCGTAAGCAAATAAACCAAGTCCTGTTGTTGGATTCCCCAGTGGTTCAGGGAAACAGGACTCTTTTTTTTTTTTTTCCCCCCTCAACCATGCTTTGTAAATAAACAGGGCTACATCAAAGACACAGCTACCTCCATCACCAACTTCTACTCCTGAGTGAAAACAACCTGTAAATCTTCAAGTTCTGGGTCAAACATTGTACCTCTGCTTTTCATCGGTTCATCAGTTCTTTCTTTGCATCGAAATCTTCTCTTCTCAGGATCTCAATTGAATCTAGCAATGCTATTATAAAGCAATTTCTCCTTAGTGAGAGACCTGAAGGTCAAAAAAAGC